TTTTGTGAAAATGGGCCCTCCCCCCCCCCAAAAAAAGCATGGAATACCATTTGGGGGCTTGGAAAGGGCTCCCGGGGGGGGGCCCCCCCCAAAAAAACAAGCAAAAAATGGCCCATTTTTTGTCAAACAAATTGCATTTATAGCCTTTAGGAGGCTTATAGAATACTCCTGGGGCTGGGGACAAAATTGAGTGAAAAACTAGCCGTTTTTCGCTCATTTCTGCCTTCCCCAGCCCCCAGGAGCACTCTGGAAGCCTCCTAAAGGCTCTGCGTGGCCATTTTGGTGAAGGGGATGGGATTTCAGGAGGAAAAAAAATGCTGTATTCAGTGTATAAGACGCACCCAGATGTTCAGCCTCTTTTTTGAGGGAAAAAGGTGCATCTTATACTCCGAAAAATACGGTATTTACTTACTGGTTGTAAATTGACAACTATTTGTATTCCCTCCACAGATTGCTTTTGTCAAGGATTACCATATTTGTCCAAAATTAGGCCAGCCTTGACTGACCTGGTGTCATCAAAATAATTTCAGACACTAACACTCATAATCCCTAGCTCCATGATGGCGAATGTATGGCATGCATGCCACAGGTGGCACGCGGAACCACATTTGCTGGCATGCCAGCCGCCAGGCCCAGTGCACATGCACAGGCAGGCTAGGTGATTTTCCGCCTTTCTGGAGGGCCGGGGGGGGGGGGCATTTTTCGCCCTCCCCAGGCTTCAGGAAAGCCTCCAGATGCTGTGGAGGGCGAAAAATGGCTCCAATGGACCAAGCAGAAGTTTGGAAAGATCCATTTCTGGCTTCTGGAGAGCTTCCAGGGGGGCAAGGGAGGAGTTTTTCGCCTGCTCCAGGCTTCAGGAAAGCCTCCGAAGCCTGGGGAGGGGTCACACCCGCATGCACCGGAGGCGGGGTAATTCACGCACACATGCTTAATTGGGTAGGGAGGATTGAATTGATGTGGGAATGCATGCGTGCAATTTTGGCACATCATAAGAAAAAAGTTCTCCATCGCTGCCTTAGCTAGTAACTATGCTGTCCCAACCAGTCGCTATGCTGTCTAAGATTTCTGGAAAACTGTAGATGTTAGTGTATTTGGAAGAGATACAACAGGAAAAGTTAATTAAACATTTCAACTCCAGCCAATCTTACAGTTCAGTGTCCAAATAAACAGAGCGACTCACCTGGTGAAGACAAGGCCAGCTGGAAAAAGGGAAGAAAAAGTATGAGACTTTTAAAAAGAAATCTGGATCAAGCCAACATGAAGAGAAATTACACACTGAATCAGAATTTTGATGGGCACACAGAAATCAACAAGTGACACTTATGAGATAGGCGGCTATGCAAATTTAATAATCAATAAATGATGTAAATACAGATAGTCCTAACTTACAATCACAACTGAGCCCAAAATTTCTGTTGCTAGGTGAAATAGTTGTTAACAGAATTTTGCCCCATTTTACATCTTTTCTTGCCACTGTTAAGTAAATCACTGCAGTTGTCAAGTTAACAACATGGTTGTTAAGTGAATCTGGCTTCCCCATTGACTTTGCTTGTTAGAAGGTCGCAAAAGGGGAATCACATGACCCCAGGACACTGCAATCGTCATCAATATGAACCAGTTGCCAAGCGTCCAAATTTTGAGCCCCTAACCATGGGGATGTTGCAATGATCGTAAGTGTGAAAAATGATCATAAGTCACTTTTTTCAGTGCAGTTGTAGCTTCAAACAACCACTAAACAAATGACTGTAAGTCGAGGACTATCTGTAAAGTCAATCATAAATCTAAGTGAATGAAACACAATTGCTGGGTTTCTCCATTTGAGCATTTACACCGGCATATAAATCAAAGTATAAAGGTAACCCTCACACATATGTGCTAGTTGTTCCTGACTCTAGGGGGCAGTGCTCATCTCTGTTTCAAAGCCAAAGAGCCAGTGCTGTCCGAAGAAGTCTCCGTGGTCATGTGACCGGCTTGACTAAACGTCAAAGGCGCACGGAAGGCTGTTACCTTCTCACTAAAGGTGGTCCCTATTTTTTCTACTTGCTTTTTTACGCGTTTTCGAACTGCTAGGTTGGCAGAAGCTGGGACAAGTAATGGGAGCTCACTCTGTTATGTGGCGTTAGGAGATTCGAACCGCTGAACTGCCGACCTTTCTGAACGACAAGCTTAGCGTCTTAATCACTGAGCCACCACGTCCCTTAAAAAGTATAGGCTGGGGCAATTGGGGGGTGGGTTACCCCACTTGTAAGGCCACCAACTACACAAATTAGCTTAGTGTAATATCTTGCATGAAGCCAGTCCAGCAATATTGTGAGTTGGTGGTGGCCTTTGGGTCCTCTCTAGACCCTCCTTCCAGACTGATGGGACAACTAAAGGGTGCTGGTGGCCGGAGATGATAAGGTTAGCAGCCCCACTAAACTGCTCTCTAACCACTAAGCCACACTGCCTGCCTTCTATTAGACATGCCCCTCTTTGCTTACACCGAACGTGGCCAACCAAGCAATCCAAAGGCAGCTGGCAGAGCTTCGTTGGAGTGGAAATAGAGCAAAAAAGAAGAAGCGCTTCACCTGTTGGATTTCGGCCAGTCCCACCTTCTTCCTTTTGTTGCAAGTTTTTAGTTTTATTTTTATTTATCTTTTAAATCAGCCTCTTGGTTCTCCCCTTTCCTGTGCCACACCTCTCTGCATCTTTTCCCTCGCTCACCAGTACAGGTGGCCGCACAGGCCGATGACAGCTTCTCTGGCAGGCTCCAGGCAGATGTTGCATTCAAAAGCACTGTGATCGCGGTTTGACCCCTCCGGTTCCCCATCTGGGACCCCTGGACCTGTCCCAGCCGCCGCCGCCGCCGCCATCTTCCGCCCTGACTTAAACTAACGGGAGGGGGGGAGGAGATGTAAACGCCCGCTCTTTAATCATTGGTCTTTCTCGCCGTCCTTCACGCTCCGTAGACATTTCATTGGTGGCCACGATAATCATTCGGGGCACCTGGCAAAGCTGATTATGTACGTTCCAGTTGGTCCCGCCTTCAATTCTGTGCAGTCTCTTAAAACTTTTTTGATTGGCTGGTGATACCTGGGGGTCGAATACGCGGCTACGTTATTGGTTGACATACCGTGGTTTCCCCCCCCCCCCCCCAAAGAAAAAACACATACACCTTCGTTCCCCGAGCAAAATAACATCATATGACCGGGGAGGGGAGAATTAAGGGGCGTGTCATGATTGACAGAAACGCCAGCCTCTCAAAGAACAAAATGACCGAAAGGTGGTGGAACGGGAGGAGGGCGGGGGGGAGGCTTTGCTTTCCTTCGAAACCCACCCACTAAAAAGCGCCTAGCGCGTGGGGACGGGACATAGCTTTGGACTTAAGGTCGGATCAGTCCTGATTGACGCATAAATTAGCCAATAACAATTCAAGAAACCTTGGCTTTAAAAGAGAGGCAAATGGGCGGAGCCTGATGAAGTGCAGAGCTGTACCAAATTTGCTTCTTCGTAAGCGCGGGTCGGAAAGCAGAATAGGCAACAAGATCGAATGCAGCTATTCTGTTACTATGGCAACTGTCCAACTGTATTCCTATCCACCTGCGGTCAATCTAGGTTTCTCGCCATAGGCCTCTGGGTTCAGATTCTCCTCATCCAGGCTTCGGTCACAAAGCAAGTGGCTAGCACAGTCGCCAAACAGCCATGAATCATACACTTAGGCAAGAAAAACCAAAAGTACGCCTATAAACCGGGCAAAACCAGGCTTAATAGCAGTAACTGGGAGAGGGATCTGGGAGTCTTAGTGGACAACCCAATTAAATACACTATATTGCCAAACTTATTCGCTCACCTACCTATACTCGCATATGAATTTACTGTAAGTGACACCCCATTCCTAATCCGTAGGGTTCAATATGACTTCGGTCCACCCTTTGCAGCTATAACAGCTTCAATTCTTCTGGGAAGGCTGTCCACAAGGTTCAGGAGTGTGTTTATGGGAATTTTTGACCATTCTTCCATTTGTGAGATCACACACTGATGTTGGACGAGTTTACGTGTCCTACCACTTGGTGGCTGAGTTGCTGTCGTTCCCAAACACTTCCATGTTCTTATAACACAGCTGACAGTCGACTGTGGCATATTTAGGAGGGAGGAAATTTCACGACTGGATTTGTTGCACAGGTGGCATCCTATCACAGTTCCACGCTGGAAGTCACTGAGCTCCTGAGAGTGACCCATTCTTTTGTAGGAAGTTAGCACCCAGCCCTCTCCCCCAAAAATGAAATATCCTAGGAAATATTGAAAAGGCAGAATATTATATTTCCCTGGATGTGAAAAGGAAGAAACATGTTTTAAAAGACAGAATAGCTCCCTCTAGCTTCCTGCCCCCACCCACTTTGTCAATGGGCCATTAAGAAGGCCAAGCCAGTCCCTTTACATAATAAAGAATTCTCCCCTTCAGGGAGATGGGATTAAGGCATGATAATATTGGCCCTTTACTCAACTCACCACATGGCATCTGAGAATTCAACCAAACCTGGATTCAAAACACAGCCTAGAGAGTTGCCGTGCATGGCTCCATGAGAGTCTGACA